GATGGATGGATGGATGGATTTTACTTTCTTGTTTTTATTCTATTTTATGTGAAGCACTTTGTGATTTTATGTCTATGAAAGGTGCTATATAAATAAACTTTGCTTACTTACTTACTTAAACACAAACCTGCCAGTGATGATGCTTCAAACCCCAGTTTAAAATAAAATAAACCTGGTTCTGCAGTTATTTTACTGGACATGTGGAAACTTTGCCTCCTTTAAAATAGCCCAGGGTATTTCCCAGTGAAGGACTCACACAGCTGTCATGTCTAACTCGCCCTCAGATCCTCCTTTTCCTTTACTTCCACCTTTTTCCTACGTTCACGTTAGTTGTACTGTACCACTTGTATCACTGTTTTACTTTTTGCTGGGCTGTGAGTTTACTGAGGCTAAAGCTGTTTTTGTGACATCAGATCTGACCGACAGCAGCAGCTTCCAGAGAGCCAAGTTCTGGGTGAAAGARCTGCAAAACTGCGAGGAGGTAAAAGAGTTTTCTGCATTAAAGTCATTATGTGACAGAGGAATCGATGTTTTTATAACAAAGATAAAAAGTTTGTCTGCATGTGAGATTTTCAGGGAATTACTCCAGGTCTGATCAGAATGAGACCAGATTGAAGGTTTAGCCTTTAGCTTTGTTAGCGTACGAACATGTTGCTCACTTTTATTAATAACTTGYATTTTACAGGAAAATAAAACATTTTCATTTATGTCCTTCAATAAGCTGTTTGTGTGTTTTCTGTCCTGCAGCACTGTAAGATCTACCTGTGTGCCACGAAGAACGATCTGATCGAAGGAAACCGAAGTCTGCGTCAGATCGACTACCACGACGCGCAGGATTTTGCTGAAGGTGATCGGAGCTCTCCTGATCTGTAGCAGYTTTTGTTTTCTGTAAAACAGGAAACAAACATTTATAAATCAACTTGACTGTTTTTATATTTCTGAACTCTGCAGCTTTTAGTCGATCCGTATTAGCTGGAGCTTAAATAGCTAAATAAACAACACTACTGTACTTTTGTCACAAACTCATAAGTGGATTTTTGTTTCTCTGCAGAGATTGGCGCGCAGCATTTTGAGACCTCCAGTAAAACAGGAAACAATGTTGGTGAGTTCCGCTGACTCCGCCTCCTACCACAACCTGAGTTTATTTGTTGGCAGAGTACGAACGATGGTGGGTTAGGGTTTTTGACTTGGAGCTTTTCTTTGCTAAGAAGAAATTTGACTTTTGCCTCCTAAAATGTATGTACAGTCATATGAAAAACTTTGGGCAGCCTTGTTAATTTTCCTGATTTACCTTTATAAATCATTGATTGTTTGGATTAAAAATATCAGTTAAATATATCATATAGGGGACAAACACAGTGATATTAGTGAAGTGAAATGAAGTTTATATGATTTACAGAAAGTGTGCAATAATTCAAACAAAATTAGGCAGGTGCATAAATTTGGGCACCGTTTTCATTTTATTGATTTCAAAACCTTTAGAACTAATTATGTGAACTTAAATTAGGTTTGTTAAGTTCAGTGACCTTTGACCTCCATACACAGGTGACTCCAGTTATGAGAAAGGGTATTTAAGGAGGGCAATAGTAAGTTTTTCTCCTCTTTGCATCTTCTCTGAAGAGTGGGAGCATGGGAGTCTGAAAACGAGTTTCAAATGATCTGAAAACAAAGATTGTTCAGCGTCATGGTTTAGGGGAAGGAGACAGAAAGATATCTGAGAGATTTCATCTTTCAGTCTCCACTGTGAGAAACATTGTGAGAAAATGTTAGACCACAGGCACAGTTCAAGTGTAGGCTCCAAGTGGCAGACCAAGACTAATCTGGAATAAACAGAAGTGAAGGATGTTGTCCAAAACAGAGAAAATATTCAGTGAGCAGCAGGTCTGTGGACACAAATGTCTTGTTGATGCCAGAGGTCAGAGGAGAATGGGCAGACTGGTTTGAGCTGATAGAACAACAACAGTGACTCAAATAACCACTGGTTACAACCGAGGTAGGCAGAAGATCATCTCTGAACACACAACACATCTCTGAACACACAACACATCTCTGAACA